AAAACATTTGGGCATATATCTAATATTTTATATTTCAACATATTAAACAAAATAAGTATATAAATAAGAGTTATCTTTATTAATAATGGAAATAGAGTAAAGCTTTAAACTAACTAAAGAAGAATACTATTTTTCCATCTATTTGGTGGCTAGAGACCCATACATGAGCAAATTGGGTAGGCTCAGTCTGAGCCTAGAACAACCAAACTTGCAATTTTAGATGAATTGGCTTGATTTTCAGTCTTCAGGCTGGGCCTAGGTCTAAGCCCAAAATTTAAACCAACCAACACACCAAGCTTTAATTACTTAATGGGTTTTGATAAGGATACTGAAATTATTATTGTTATCTGAAATTTGCATATGCAACGTATGTGCACATTTGCTAGTTTAACCAAAATGTATAGATAGATGTATCTGTCTCTGTAATTTTTAATAGCATATTTGGGAATGATATGTACACTAAGTGTCAGAAATTTGATCATGTTCCTGTATTGTTATACTTACCTGGGCTGCACTAACCCTGAATTAATGTCATGTTACAAATTCTTTTGAGGACCATGAATTTGCTTAAAATATTAAAATGTTTATATGAGTTGCACTAACCAGCCTATAATTCTCAATTTTTCATGGCACTGCATTAATATTCTTTTTCCTGCAAATTCTCTTTCACATGAGATTGGAAAATATACAGATCTGTAATCCTAAAATTTCTTGGGGGTTCATGGTTATGCTTAAGAACTGTTGGGAAGCAAGGGCTTAGCTAGTGGTGTTCAATAACTGCTGAAATAGGAGCTGAAAGCAGAATGCTAGAAAGATAGGGCTGCAAACAGTATCCAATTGTATGAATTTGAATTCGATCCCATTAAGGGTGATCCAAATTGGATCCATTTAATATGGATTGACCCCTATTCGATCTGATATAATCCTATTTGATTTAAATGTACATGGTCATTATATACTTAAAATTTATATTGTGTCTATTAGTAAAATTTATTTGAATGTTGTGATTTTACTACACTTTTCTTTGCCAAGTTTAGTGCAAATATTTTTCAATTAATTTTATTCATAAAAATAATATCAAAGTAATATTTAGTTCATTTTATTAATGCTATGTAATATTTTGATCATTTTTAATTTAATTTATTTATACTATTGAATATGCAATTACAATCTGAATTCAATTCGAATCCTACATAAATCTGATGGATAAGATCCAATTCAAACTTGAATAATTTTGAAAGAGTATCATCTTGGGCATACTTGGGCAATGATGTAAAAGGTGTGCTTCAGGTGCGCACAGCGAGGTGCATTTAAGGGTATGCACCTCACCCAAGTCCTAGGTGCACGCCTGGTGTGCCTAGGCATGTGTCTATGCGTCTTGCACCTCAGCCCAGGCATGCACCTTTTTAAAATTCTGCGCTTTTTGCTTTTTTTGAGCCTAACGGCTGGGCCGGGGGCTCCACCCCTGGACCCCGACCACACCCCTCGAAGCAAGCCCAAACAATTCTCCGAGAACCCCCTATTTGCTAATGTTGTTCATTCATTCATTCCAATAAAATATCTTCTTAAAAGGCAATTGAAGTTATAAAATCATTATTTTTTATGTGAGAAATAAGAATTTAAGACCCTAACATGGACTTGTTTAGGCTTGCTTTGAGGGGCGTGGTACAAAGGTGACTCATAGAATAAAAAATGCAATATGTTTTACATCACATTAGTTACGGGAAAATATTTTTTACACTCCTGCTTAAAAAAATCTAAAGGAAAAAAAAGATTTATGAAAAAGGAAAAAAATGCATTAGTAGAGGAATAAAACCTCTCTTCTTGAATCAGATGCAAAGTCATACCTAGGGCTGTATTGTACTCAGATCGAATTCAGCAACATGTAAATCTGGTCTGACTTTTGAAAACTGAAACATGAGTCCAATCTGAAATCCGATTGGACTTTGGGATCTCTGATTGGATTCATATCGTACTGGACTCGGATTAGATTTGGATTTAATTTGCATATGCTTTTATATTTCTTAAAATAAAGTTAAAGTACTGATTCTAAACTGGGAATACCTTCTCCCCAAGGGGTAAATTGGGACCTAGGTTTCAAAAGAGGTCTAAGGGAAAATGAATATGCTTCTCTTATTCACTTATTTGGTCTTTTGGAGGCAGTGTTCATGGATTAAAACATTGAGGGCACTAGGATTTGGTCAGCCCCTCTCGGTGGTCTTTTTACTTGCTCCTCTCTTTTCAGAAACGTCGCCTGCTTATTTTTTTAGGATTTGACTTTCTGGTGAAAGAAATTCAGAGTAACCCTATTCCACATAAGGTTCAAGCTTTCTGTTGGGAAATTTTCCTTGGAAAGATTAATACTTGTCATATGCTGCAGGGAAGGCCTAATTTTTGCCTTTATCCTCATATGTGCTTTTTGTGCAAAGCTAGTGGCAAAATTCTCTTCTATCTATTAATCTCTTGTTCTTTTGTGCATTGCATTTGGTTGCAGGTGGAATCTTCCTCAAGATGTGTTTGGTATTTTCAATTCTAACTTCTTGAGGCAACTAAAGAAAAGTGGGAGGATTTTGTGGAGAGTTGTAAAGGTAGAAATAGTTTGGGAAGAGAGAAATGGAAGAATTTTCAATGGGAAGAGTAAATCATTGGAGGAGGTAATAGACAGCATAAATATAAAGGTTGTACATTGGGTAAAAGTCTTGAAGTTTTCAGAATTTCTTTGTAAATGAGATAATAAGAGCTTGGGACAAGGTTTAGAGTAAACGACAGGATAAGAATGGATTGGGAACCTCTAGAAGGCAACCGAATAAAACTGAACTTTGATGGAAGCTCTTTTGGAAATCTGAGTGTGGCAGGAATAGGTGTTTTCAGGGACTCTGAAAGCAGGATATTAGCTTTGTATTTAGGGTCTATTCGAATGGGAAATTCTTTGAAAGCTGAACTGATGGCTTTTCTGTGGGGTCTAAGATTAGCAAAACAATTGGGCTGTAGACAGATCGAGGTGGAAGGGAACTCAAAACTAATTATCTCTTGGACAAGCTGCAACTAGACCTGTTCATGGGCTGGGCTTGGTCTTGGATTTTGCCAAAATTTGAATGGGCCCAGCCAATGATCAAGCCTGAAATAGTGTAAACTTGAGCCCGAAGCCTGGCCTGTGAACAGGTCTGGTTGCAACAGACATCCCCTGGACTCTCAGACATGCTTTTAGGGAAGTGGAAAGTATTGCAAAGGACTTAAAGCAGGTGAGAAGGACAGCAAATGGGATGGCTGATTCCCTTGCTAAGCAAGGGGCTTTGAGGCAGCAACTGTTTTGGGCTTTCTATGAGCTGGATAGACAGTCCTGTTAATTGAATGTTTTAACTCCATCTTTCATCAATTTTAATAAAATACTTTTTTCTGTTGATAACAAACTTATATAATAAATTAATATAAATATGAAATATTGAATATATATATATATATTTATATAAACTATAATATGTAAGATTATATATTTTTTATTTTTATAATTATATAAATTTTATATATTAAATCAATATATTATTATAAAATAATTAAACTTGTGTTTTCATCAGATTGATTGGGTTAAATCTGCATCTAATGCAAGATTGTAAAACCCTTTTCTAATCCAATTATGTAAATGATCATCTGAATCCAAGATATTTGGATTGGGAATTGGACATACAGAGTCCTTTGACAACCCTAGTCACACCAAAGGAGCAAAATTTGTTGAACATCAAACCCAGTAGAGAAACAAAGTTGAATCTTCATGTAATTCTCAATATTCAACTTTGATGTGTAGAGAGGGTGGTCGAATATATTGAGATCACATGTGGCAGTTCTTTCTTAATCAACAAGAAAACAAGCCTAGAAACTAACTATTACTTTTGATGTACTTTGTAATTCCTAAATGACACCTATAGCCCTCTTAAAATAGACTTTTTGACCCATACAAGTTTCACATAAAGGCAAACCCTCAAAAATATTTATCAAAAAATAACAAAACTCCCTTAGAGCCCAATTGGAGTGGGTGACTCCCTTAGAGCTGAGATCTTTGCAGTTATGGAAGGAGTCCGGAAAGCAAAGGAACTGAACATCAAGAAACTCTTAATTGAAGGGGATTCAGAGGTGGTGATAGGGTGGTTGATTAAAGAGCACAATGGTTTATGGAAGTACAATAATGAGAGGAGGAAATTCAAGTGGCTGGTGCGAGAGATGGAAGTTAAGACATGTTGGGTTAAAAGATCAGAAAATTCCCTAGCTGACGGTTTAGCTAAACAAGGGGCAGAAAGGGATTCCCTGTTTTGGGTTAAGCTGTAACTTTAGTGTTTTTTTTTTCTTTTCTCTTTTTCTTGAGGTTCTCTGTTGCTCTTGGAAGATAAGTGTGTTTTTCTTCCTCTTGTAAATCTTCTATTGATGATTTAATGAAAGTGTTATCGATAAAAAAATAAAAAAATAAAAAAATAACAAAACTCTAAAAACTTGTTCAAAATACCTGAATGTAGCATTAATGTCAAACCATAAAGCCTATGACCACACAATCACCATCAGGTTGAACCGTTGAAGCAAAAACAATGGCTAATTGAAGATAAATAACAATAATAGGAAGAAAAATCTATTATAAAAAAATATGATTAAGCAAAGAAAAACCCCAAATTAGTCAAAGCAAAGTTATAATTTTTTTTCATAAGTAAAGCAAAGAATATATAATATTGTATAGTTATCAAGGTGTCAAGGTAAAGCTAGGCAATAGGGGAGTGCCTATCTGCTTAGTGCCTGCCTTAGCATCATCTAGGTGATGAATTTTTTTAACCTGACTCCTAGGCTAATTCCCTAGTTTTCATAGTAATATGAAATTATCTTTTATTAATAGTTAGCATTAATCTTTATCAAATGAGTACATTGTCTATTTTTCTTGGTTTCCTGTGGAAATTATGTGATTGCAACCATCCTTTTGTAGGAAAAATGTTTACATTGCCTTTTTTTTTTCTGTTTTCTAGGTATGAACCACTTTTGGTGCAGGCAATGTTCACTCTTATCATACAGATAGTTAAGGAACGGCGCTTTTGTGGGATGTCTGCTGCTGAAAGTTTGAGAAGAGAGTTGATTTATAACCTATCTATCGGAGATGCTACTCATAGTCAGATAGTGAAATCTCTCCCTCGTGACCTCTCTAAGAATGATCAACTTCAGAATATTTTGGATTCGACTGCAGTGTACTTCAAGCCATCTGGCATGAAGCAGGTTTGTTTCATTTAGTCAAGTGTCTAGAAATTTCCAACCAATATTGAATTTAGTGAGACAACATGGTATTTCTTTACCTTCAGGGAAAATATTCACTACGAAAGACGTATTGGAAGGAGCTGGACTTATATCATCCTCGATGGAACTTAAGAGACCTCCAATTCGCAGAAGAAAGATACTTGCGCTTCTGTAAGGCTTCTGCTTTGACTGTTCAGGTACCTCGGTGGACAAAGATTTATCCTCCTCTCAGTGGAGTTTCTAGAATAGCTACTTCAAAAACAGTCCTTCAAATTGTCCGTGCAGTTCTATACTATGCAGTTTTCACAGATAAAATATCTGCATCACGTGCTCCTGATGGGGTTCTTCTTACAGCACTGCACTTACTTTCACTAGCATTAGACATCTGCTATAAGCAGAAACAATCCGGTGATCAACCACTTATGAGTGTTTCATCTCACATGGAGGATCCACTTCCTGTTCTAGCTTTTGCTACTGAAGTGATTGATTTGGGAACAACTAAGGGAAGTGAATCATGGAGTCATCAAACTATGCTGTCATTACTTGTTTCAGTCATGAGGATGCATCAGAAAGAAAGTCTACACAACTTCATGGAAGCAGGTCATTGTAATCTTTCTTCGTTTGTTGATGGTCTATTGAAAAAGTTTGCTGAGCTTGATGCTGGTTGCATGACTGAATTACAAAGGCTTGCACCTGAAGTGGTCTGTCAATTGTCCCAGCCAATTCCAGATAGTAGAATTAATATTGGTTCAGCTTCTGAGGCTGAGGAGCGTAAAGCAAAGGCTCGAGAGCGGCAGGCTGCCATATTGGTGAGATTTGTCTTGTTGATATTTTATTTAGATTAGCTAGGTGGCGTCAAGTGGTTCTTTTTATCAAATTTTGGTCATATTATTTTAGGTTATATTATTTTCAGAGAATGAATCCCACAAATTCTTCTTCTAAAAGAAATATTTACTTTTTTGCTAATCTAGTTTCTGGCAAGTTGTTTGTATAAATGCGCTCATAATAGTTGGTAGGCATAGCATGCATTATTTACTTGCCTATTTTTAATATCAATCCAGATGCAATCGGGAGATAATTGGAATTTGTATATGCTGACTATGCTTATCAGACTGTCCTGTTTGTAGATTGTGAATTCTTAACGCGTTTTTGTCAACAACTTTGTGATGTACAATATGCATATTTCCTTTTTAAGAGTTTCATCTCATGTTACCTTGATTAGTTTTCCAGGCTCACTAGTTTGACATGCAGGAAAAAATGAGAGCTGCACAGTCCAAATTTATGGAAAACCTTTACTCCACAGCTAGTGATGCAATGGATGTTTCAAAATCTGATGAAAAGCTCTCTGTCTCTGATGATGGTTACACATCTGAAGAGTTAGCTCCAGTTATTTGTTCTCTTTGCCGCGATCCAGATTCTAAGAGCCCTGTATCTTACTTGATTTTTCTCCAGGTAAGTTTATTTGGTGAATTTTTCCAATTGTTGGCCCTTTAGAAGAGTGGTTTCTGAAACACTTGGTAGTCTTGGTTATTATTTTTAGTATTAGTGGATTAATACTACTTTCCTTTTGTATCTTTGAATGTGTTCAAATATCTCTAACTTGTTATTCTTGTCTTTGCAACAAGAAATCTAGACTTGCAAGTTTTGTTGAGAGAGGACCTCCATCATGGGAACAAGTTCATGAATCAGACAAGCACTGTCATATTGCCAAAAATGAGGTGATTGATGCATTTAGTAGTACATTGTCCTATGTAGTTCAGAAATCATTTCATCTTCTCACTTGGTGCAGTTTCTTCAGGATGAAGTGAATGAGTCTGCATTCGATGTGCAATCCAGTGAGGCTGATGCTTTCATGGATTTCATTAAGGCCCGGCTTCTAGCTCCAAGAAATATTCAACAGCCAAGTACATCTCATGATACAAATATGAGTTCTGCATCTTCCCTTGAGATGATGGAAGAAGAAGTCTATAATTCTATTCAAAGGGATGCGTGCACTATCCTTTCATATCCAAAAGTCATGGAGGGTGATCAGCATTTTTCAACCTCACATGCCGGGCATTTAACAAGAAGCAGATATGCTGAGTCCCCTTTGCTTGCAAAATATATAGCATCCCTTTCAACTGAGGCATCAGAAACTACTGCTGCATCCAGAAAAGCTCACTCTCATAATGAAAATTCATTCACTATGTCAACAGTTTACTTGGCTGCATTTGATGGATTTGGTCCTTCAGATTGTGATGGAATTCATATATCATCATGTGGGCATGCTGTGCATCAGGAGTGTCGTGAGCGTTACTTATCATCCCTTAGGGAAAGGCAAGTTCCTTTAGCAAACTGGTATCTTTCCCCTTGAACCAGTTGGGAGGAGTACTTTATTTTTACCCTTTTGATATTGGAGATCATGCATCCTTTAATAGCTCATTCCATGTCTGATATTCTGTGTGTTATGTATTTTAAACAGCAGTCTTTGATTTGGTTATGTGCTTGCTATAATTTTTTCTGCCTTCATAGCTTGTGTGTTACGTACTTCCGTTCAATCCATATGGGGCTTAACATTTTATTTGTATCCTGTTCATAAATAATAAGGTTCCTGGTTGACAATTTAAAAAGCTATTATCAATTAAAAGACTATTAAAAAAGGTGTTCTATGTGTAGCATGACGTCTTCCGCTACCACTGCCTGTACTCATTTGTTTCTGTATTTCTTAGATTTGAAGATTTAGAGGATCTGCTTATTTCATCATAATCATCATCACCCATGCCTTATCCCAATTATATAGGGTCGGCTACATGAATCCTGTTTTGCCAATCGATTTTATTTAAATTCATATCCGCTGCTAAATTATTAGTTCTTATATCATTTCTTACTACTTACCCTTGTCCTTTTTGGTCTACCCTGAGCTCTTCTAGCCCCTTTAATGTGTAACAAATCACTTCTAACTGGGGCAGTTGGTGGTTTTCTATGCACGTGCCCAGACCATCTTAGTCTACAATCTCTCATTTTATCACCTATTGGAGCTATTCCTAGGTTCCTATGGACAACTTCATTCCTAATCCTATCCTTTCTAGCATAGTTCTCATGGCACCAAGGTGAAGCTAGGCGACAAGGGGTGCTTGGTCACCTAGTCGCCTAGGCGATGGATTTTTTTACGTAAAAACATATATCCTAGGGTAGATCCTTAGGTTCCATAACCATATTTCCTTAATAATTATCCATAATTTTCATAAGAAAAGTATAAACTTCATGTTGAAGTCTCTAGAAAATCAACATATTCATGAGAAGAAAAAGAAGAAAGAAAAGAAAATTCAAAAAAAAAAAAAATATACGGGCTGAAACCCTATTTTTGTTATGGAAAAAGAAGAAGAAGAAGATGAAGAGGAAGATGTTGAAGAAAAGAAGAAAATGTGTTTATTAGACAAAATTAAGTTCTTCCTTGTTGGGGTTCAGGTTTTGAAATCTTTGAGGGTTCAATACAGCAGTTAGCAATGTCTATGTTTATTAAACCCTAAAAAAATAAGAAAACAATAAAAAGAAATTAGTATATAACACACAAGATGATTATTTTAGTTTAGTAATGTCTATTTTATATGTATAATCTCAAAAAACTGAGAATGTAATAGCATTTTATAACATAGTATACAAAACTGCTTAGCGTTTGAGTGAGGCGAGCCTCAAGAGTGCTTTGTTGCCTTGACAACTATGCTTTCTAGCTTTCCCACTCATCCATCTTAGCATTCACATTTCTGCCACATTCATGGTTTCAGGGGTGCAATTTGGTTAGGGAAGGAAATCTGAGGCTATTATGGACTAGGTTTCTGTTTTATATGTTCAGGACTGGCTATGATGTTAGGGCTGAATCCAAAATTTCAATCCCTTTTGGTCTTCAAATGAGTCTGATATGAATCTGAATGTATGTCTCAAGGTGACAAAACAAGTTTGACAAACTTCACCTGCCCCATGGATTACATGTCTTTTAACAATTTCCCCTTCCTTTACTTATCTATACTCAACCATGGCACCTTGAGAGAGAGCCACATTGTAATTGCACCTGCACGGGCTCTAGAAAATGAAGATTAGTATATAAATACATTACAATTTATTTGTAGCATGTATCCATTTAATTACTGATTTTTTTTTTTACTTGCAAAGGAGAAAAGGATTTTGCTTACTTTCTGAACTGCAAAAGCCTGAAGAATCTTTTATATGCATAAAATATATAATATCTCTTTATGAATAGTTCAACTTTAAGAATTACTGTACTTTACCTAGTTGATTTTTGTATCATGATGCCATTTTCTGTGGATTAAGTGAATAAATTTTCTACTTAGAAGATTTCCTAGTACATTATATGCTCAGAAAGTGAGTTCTAAAATTATGCTCTTAAATTGTTCGTATAGATATCTTAGGAGAATTGTCTTCGAAGGTGGTCACATTGTGGATTTGGATCAGGTACATGTTTTCTCTTTACTGTGTTATTTCCTTCACCAAATATAATGGTTATTTATTGTACCATGTTTCTCTATTTTTGTTATTTTCAGGGAGAATTCCTCTGTCCTGTTTGCCGCCGACTTGCAAATTCAGTCTTACCCACATTCCCTGATTATCGTGGCAATGTTAGGGAGCGGATGATGTCATCAAACCTTAGTTCAACAGAAACTGCTGGTTTGTCAATCATATCATGTTTAGAAACGAATGTTCTTCTTATTCAACAAGCTCTATCTCTCCTTCAAAGTGCGGCCAATATGGTTGGGAAAAGCAACACTGTAAAAGCCTTCTCATCGCAGCGTGGCAAAAGGATGAGACCAACTCTAGAACCTGTTTTCAACTCTCTCTGTAAAATGTATTCTCCTGATGGACATGACAAGTTCTCAGCATCTGGCAGAGTAATCCATTCAATGATTTTGTGGGATACTCTTAAATACGCTCTCATATCTGCAGAAATTGCTGCTCGAGGTGGAAGATCTTACATGCATGCAGGAAGCTCAACCCCTGGGCTTATACCTTTATATAACGAACTTGAATCTTCTACTAGATTTATATTGTCCTTATTGCTCCAAGTTGTCCAGAGAACTCGGAGTGACAATTTTCTTCAGGTGCTTCTGAGGTTTAGAGGGGTTCAACTTATGGCAGAATCTATTTGCTCTGGTGTCTCCATAGATGAATTTTCTGCTAGCTCAGGTAGTAGAAGAGGTATGATTTTGTTTGATTCCTTTTGTCTCTTGACATCTGCTAATGTGAAGAAGTATCATTGATGTTATTTATTTTTCAACTTTCAATACTGCTGAAGCCCATTGGTTAGTGTGCCATATGCTTTAATCATGTATGTACTCTTTATATTGTTTACTGCCTGCATCAGTTCGGTCTACATAGAGCCAATGTGGTATTATGCCTGTGTTTGGTTACCTTTTTCCTTCTATAGGAGCAGTATCTTGTAGCAGAAACATCAGTCTGCAGTTCTACCATTGATATGTTAGATTGGTTCTCATGATGGTAGGTTCATGGTAAAATGATGCATGTAGGCCTGTAAATGGAGCAAATTTGAATCGAATCAGACCAAATTTGAATTCAAAAATAATTATTTGAATTCGATTCGATATTTGACGAATATTTAAAATTACAAACCAAATTCGAATTTGATTATATAATCGAATATTTGATGTGATTCGAATTCAACTAATTCCTTGCATTTACACTGAAAATACCAACTTTGAAACTAGACGAAGAAACAATCTCTGTAATGATATGCCATATGAATGACAAAGATAGACAAAAAACAAGAAATGAAAGAGAACAAAAAACCTATAAAAATCTAAAACAATTGACAAAGAAATAAAGCGAGTGGGATAAACAAGTTTCTTGTGAATCTATGACCTACGATTTGTAAACACTGTAGAATGAGCTATACAATGACTCACCCATGTCTGGATGTTGCTTATCCGAAAGACCGAGTTGGGATCCCCCAAACGACTCATCTCTGCCATAGACCTCTGCAGCTCATCGGCCGAGTCTCCAATGGTCTTGGTGCAGTCTTGTATTGCTGCAGCCTCTGTAGGCTTCATTCCGTGGATTTTTGGTAGCTCTGTTATCATGGTTGAAATGGAGTGAGCGTTTGTGAGGGAAACATTCAGGGCGGCATTGACAAATGAGGACACTTGCATGGGTGGGTTCACTGGCAAAGCTGTGGACGGGAGGATCAAGACCACAGTAAGAGTTCGTATTTTGAACCTTGCCCAACTCACAAGCAATGCTCTATCGTCCTTCATCAATGAACTTGTCAAGACCTTACCTTAACACTCAAGCCAATAGAAGTTGAAGTTGAAACGTCCGACGTCTGAGCGATGTGAAGTCCCTTTGCGATTTCCGATTGTCTTTGATATTTGCTTCCTAAGTTTTCTTTTACAGAGTATAGTTGCAGGTAGAAACAAACAAAGAGGAAAAATGCTTGAGAAGGGAAGGAGACGATGGAGGGAAAGCTTCGATAAATGAAAAAGTAGAAAAACATATAATATTAACATTCATATGAAAAAGTAACTTGCTTTTGGGTTTTGGACAGCAACATTTTTTTTTTTTTAATTCTAAAATTTGTGGTGGTTCGGTATGAAAAAAATGATACTTGGTTTAGTTTTGTGTGTTGTTACAAATTTACATAATTTTTTCTGACTTTATTGCATTGCTGATAGAAGTGGCATCTGCATAACAATTTAATCAAAAGCTTAGTTGTATAAATATTGAATTGTTTTGATTTTGCTTTCACTAGTTCTAATTGTTGCAATGGTTAAAAGCTATTCATGTATTCTGGGAAAAAAATATTATATTCTGTACAGTGCTTTTTCCTCTTGCTCTCTTGCCTTCTATTGATCTTACCATTGACATTATACTTGGCAGGTAGTATGTCATCTATCCTGAAACATGTTGACAAAAGAGTACCATATCCTGATATCCAGTTTTGGAAACGAGCTGCAGATCCTGTCCTTGCTCACGATCCTTTTTCATCGTTGATGTGGGTTCTTTTTTGCCTTCCATCCCCATTTCTAACATCCGTGGAATCTTTCTTATCTCTTGTGCATCTCTTCTATGTTGTTTGTATAATTCAGGTCTGTTACAACACTCCAGAAACTATGGAAAATGTTGGATTTCTTAAGATTTTATTTTAGTCTGAATTTTTCTACATTGATGTTTTGTTTTGCAGGCAATAATTACATGTCATGGAAATCTTAATGTGGATATCAGTCAATTAGCAAAGGGAAATTGCCTGGTTAGTGACCTCTGCAAGATTAAGGGAGAATCTGTAGTTGTTCAAGATTACTTTGTCTCAAACTATATTGATTTGTCCTGCCATCCTAAAGATATGGTTCGCAGATTTAGTTCTCCTTATTTGCGAAGGTGTGCATTGCTCTGGAAATTGCTAAGCTCTTCGATGCCAACACCATTCTCCGATAGATCTCATGGGTTGGGTGCATTATCTTCACATGTGAACAATGATGCATTGGAAAGCACTAGTGGCTTTCTCTTAGAACTTAAAGAGGTTGAAGAACTGGAGAACATGTTTAAGATTCCCTCTCTGGATGTTGTTTTCAGAGATGAAATGTTGCATGTTCTAGGTGTGAAATGGCTCAGTCATTTCTGCAAGGAATTCCAGGGTTGTCGTTATGGACGCTCATTGCACTCTACTCCAGCTGTTCCATTTAAATTGATGAATCTTCCTCATGTTTATCAAGATCTTTTGCAGAGGTTAGTTTCAACATTGTTCTTGAAATGGAAGACCTATTGCTTCCTTTTTACACTATTTAATCTCATTTTACTCTATCAGGTATATCAAAAGGCAGTGCCCTGATTGCGGAGGTGTTCAGGATGATCCTGCTCTATGCTTGCTATGTGGTAGACTGTGCTGTCCAGCATGGAAGCAATGCTGCAGGTTTCGTATATTGTTCTCTCTCTCTCTCTCTCTCTCTCTCTCTCTGTATATGCAACTTTGACATTTTTCATTGGCAATTCTTCAAGGGAACGCACGTGCCAAACTCATGCAATATCTTGTGGTGCTGGATTTGGAGTATTTCTCTTGATCAGGGTATGCTTTAAACATTAATTCAGTTCAGTTTTCTGGTCTACTTGAAGACATTTCTTGATAAAAGTCCTGGGTAGGTAAAACACAATGCTTTTTTGCTGCCTGAAAATGACTAATGATTATTGCTCTTGCAATAGAAAACAACAATCTTACTGCAAAGAAATGCACGACAGTCATTTTGGCCCTCTCCTTACTTGGATGCCTTTGGTGAAGAAGTAAGTAGATTGATCTCTAAGTGCTATTGTATATTATTAGTTTTTTAATGGGTAAATTGCATTATATATTTGTATTGGTGAATGGTGTCAAGTTCCACCAGATGTTCTCTTGTTTGGTGAAACCTTTCACTGACAAAGGAACAATCGAGAAAACTAAGATTTGAGTTAGTTTTTATTGTTATTTTATTAATAAAAATGTGGCCTACTCTTTCTAAAAAATATTTTTGTAGAAATAAGCAGTGTTTTAAAAGGCGTGGGAGGCGTACGCTTGGAGGTGCGCCTCTAGGCGAGGCACTCCCAAAATGCCCTAAGGCGTATGCCAGAATGTCACGGGGATAATCGCTGGGGCCCCGTGCGGCACTCGAAATGGGCGAGTAAGCCTACGAAACAAAGCAAACACACACACAAAGGCAACAAGAAGGCACACGAATTAGCAAAAGGCTACTTGTATTGCATAAATCGGTGGTAAG